TTACATGTTGACCTATAAGAAGTCTGATCAACTTCAAGTCATTGGTTATTCTGATTCTGATTTTGCTGGTTGCCCTGACGATCGAAAATCTACTTCTGGTTTTATATTTAAGTTGGCAGAAGGAGCTATTTCTTGGAAGAGTGTTAAATAAACTCTTACAACTACTTCTACTATGGAGGTAGAATATGTTGCTTGTTATGAAGCTACTTGTCAAGATGTGTGGCTTAAAAATTTGGTTTCTGGCTTTCAAATTGTTGAAAGTATTTCCAGACCACTTGTGATATATTGTGACAACACTGCTGCCGTACATTTTTCTCAAAACAACAGAAGTTCTACTGGCTCAAAGCATTTTGATATAAAATTTCTGTTTGTTAGAGAGAAAGTTTTGGATTTTCAAACTCGGATTGAACATACTGCTACAGAAAATATGTTAGCAGATCCACTGACTAAAGGCTTAGCTATTGGAGTTTTTCAAAATCATGTAACTCATATGGGTGTGGTTAAGTCTTTTGATGTACTGGGTTAGTGGGAGTTTGAGATTCATAATATATATTATTATGGATTTTACGAGATGTAAATTTATCAATGACGTCATTTTATTACATCTCTTTGATACATAAAATGTATGAACCATTTTGGGATCACATATTTATTATGTTTGGTTTTATTTTATTTATTATCTATTATTTATGAAATCTAAGCATATGGTAATCATCCCTATCGGATATTATCGTTGTGATTCATGTTTATATTTCTTAATTGATATTTGTGTTTGTTTAGTAATTGATATGATTAATTTATTTATCAATGTTATCCAAGTGGGAGAATGTTGTATTTATATAATTTATTATATATGTTTATATATATATATATATATATATATATATATATATATAAATTATTATTCTCTATTTGTTATGGATTAACATTAATCAATAAATTAATTATTTGTAATTATCAATTATATTACACATCATCATTTTTTTATAAATAATAAATTTAATTTGGGTTTCGATGAACGATCAGTGATGGGTTGGATTGTTCAGAATCGGTTATTTATTGAGATCCCTGGTCTCTGCCGATAGGTGAAAAAACTGATACCCCATTAGTCGGTTTTACGTGTGACAATAAAACTCACTTTACACACTACGTTCAAGTGAACCTATCGAAAAGAGAGCAATATTCTCTCATACGCGCTCTATGGATCCTTCAACAATCCCAGGTACACAATGTTTTGAATATATTATATTTTTTGTATTTTATATTATATTATTATGTATTTCAAACAGTTAATATATTTGAAAATGTATATATGTATTATTCTATAATGAATTCAAATTTGACAATATTTAATTTTACTCACTAACTTACTCTATGTATCTTGTATGTTTCTTTTAACTATGACGATCATGTATTTTATATTGGAATTAGAATAGATGATGTACGTGTTAGGCATTAGTAGAGATAGATTTAAAGTTAATAAGATTTTTAAATTTTTTATTAATTTCAATTTTTTTATGTTTTAAATATATGTAAATAATTTTCTATGATAATGAAGTTTATATTTTAAAATAATTTATTTATGTATATTATATAAATATTTATGATATAAATTTTGAGACGTTACTATTAAGATTGAAAAATGTTGCAAACAAAAATTATCTTTGTCGTTACAGTGTCATTATTAATTGGACATATCACTGTATCAAGAAAAGTAATTGATAAACAGAATCCCTAAATTGCTTAATAAAGACGAAAGTAATTCAAAGGCAGAATATTAAATTAAAAAAAAATCAAGGACCAGAATGTTAAAAAAAATTGTCAGCAACAAAAAGATAATTTGAATATATTTTTAAAGACGTTGAAACCATTCTTCTATATGGTTTATCCAACTGTTGAATATATCCGCATTTTTTATAATTTTTAAATAGATATTCATCGTTTTAATATTTTTAATAAAATGTCATTCACCTCTTTTATTTTATTTATGAATAATATATTTTTATGAAAATATTTTTAAATTTTATTTTTTTATTTAAATTTCAATCAATGTGATATTTTAAAATAAATAAAAAAGTGGCACGTGATGGTCATTTATTAAAATATAAAGAATATAAATATTTATTTAAATTTTAGAGTTAAAGACATAAATTATGGAAATGTATATGATAAAACTAAACAATAATAAGGTGAGTGTCATTTAAGTATAATTTTAAGTAGAGATATATTCATTTCTTCTTTTTTTTTCAATTTTGTTTAACCTTGTGTTGTGTAGTTATTATGTATGTTAGAAAAGAGAAAGATTTTTACTTGGCTTGTGAAGGATTTAAATTTTGAAATATGCGTTCAGAGATAAACTACATAGAATCTTTGGATGTGAAAGGTGGTTGTTCTGTTCTAACGATTCTCTTCTCTTTGGTGTTACATAAGAAAGTACATGCATGGTAGGTTTTATGCTTCAAGTTGTAAGTTTTTTATGTATTATAATGACGGAACTTCCAAAACAATGAAAAGAAAAAAGACTTAGTGAGTCTTTGGGTGAATTATAAAATATGCAATCCAAACTTTTTTTTTTTAAGTAATTGATTTCAGGGTACCTATGCAGCAGAGAATTATTAGGGTTAACCATGACCAGATCAAGAGTTATTTAGGGTTGTGAAAAAAATATATATATAAAAACTTTAAAAGAAATGCATTCTTGACATATTGAAGTTATCAAATGAAATGTTCAACAAGAAGTAATAGAATTCTCACTATGTTCATTTTATCATTTAGTGCAAATCTATCCTTATAATAAATTCTAAAAGTTTCTATGTAGTCTTAGGTAACAAATTGGTATCAATGTAGAAAATTCATCTGTCTTACACGTCCATATGAAAATAAATTTGCTATCAACTATTCTACCTTTGGGTCTGTCAACCATTTCTCATGTATTATTCTTTTCTCATGTATTCAATCCCTCTCTTTCTTTTTGGATCTTCCCTTGGAAATAGTATTACCAACAGCAATAATATTGAAACTTAAAGATGAAATTAAAAATTGGATTATTTTATGAACCCCCTGATTCATTTCTCCAAGTCTGCTATATTTTTCTAATTACTTGCAATTGGATCTAAACAAATTATTTCTAAGTTTTAGACTATGTTGCAAAGAGGAAAGTTGAAATGTTTGAGCTTTACTTGTGGCTTTGTGCAGCATTGCAAAATTGCAGGGATGGAATTCCATGATGTCAATCTCTATATCTTAAATCTTAAACCCAAAATCTATCAATAACTTTGGATGAGAGAAGGAAAAAGAAAAGTGAAAATATAATTTTTTTTATTAATATTATAAAAGAGGTTGCAAAATTATTATTTTTCATATTTAGATACTCAACAGTTGCCCAATTTGGGGTTCAAACAACTCTTAAGACTATGTTGAATCTCCAATAATCTCAATCATTAGCATTAGAAATGGAAGAACGAATCACCATACTCTATTTTAGTTAGTCCCGTCTTTGGCCCGCTAAAAATGGAGTGAACAGACTATAGGTCTCGGTCCACCCCACCAAAGAGTGGGCTATCGGACTGGTCCATCATATTTTTTATTTTATTTTATTATTTTTAAATCAAATTTTTCAATAAATTTAATAATAAAATTATCATTGTCAACAATTCAAAAAAGAAATATATATATCAAGTTAATAATATAAATTAATATATTATTTTAATAAATTATATTTTAAAACAATTAAATTAAGATAAAATTTATATAATAATAAATATATGTATATAACAGTAAAAATTTATTAAATTTTTATTTTTATATTGAAAAGTATGAGATATACATATGATTTTTACCTTATGAAAAAGAATGAGCAAAAAGAAGATAATAAATAAGAGGAGAGGGGAGAGAGGAATTTATACTTGAGAAAGAAAAATGTTTTCCTATTATGAGTTTAAGGAATTATAAAACATTTTGAATTCTCTTAGTAGTGAAATACAGAGATTTTATAAACTGAAACCTTTAAAATTATCTTTTCATAAATATTGATATTATATATTTTCCTCTTTACTCTTTATATTGTATCACAATAAAAAAAATTATTAGTAAAATAAATCGCAGACTGACCCGTCCATCCCACATATTCACCTGACAGATTGGCAGGCTTAACAAGACATACCAAGACGGAGTAGCGCTAAAAATATTAACCCACTTCATCCTATTATAACGGGTCTACCATTAGACCTTACCCGTTTTTTCATCACTAATGTACATGTGAGATTTTCAATTCTATTAGCGCCTATACACAGGTTTCTAGCTGCGAATTCAAATCTGAATGATCATCATCTTGGTTCCTTATCAATATCCTCGTCGCAGTACGAACTCCAATTTGGACACAATGAAAGACCTGCTTCATTATTACCAAATAACTAACAACTTTATTATGGTCTTCGCCTAGGAACTTGTGTTCGTCATATAGCAAATGGAAATTAATTTGATTGTTTAGTTATGCTTTGAAAGTCCCTCGGACACCAGAACTGTGTATAAGACGAATTTGCTTTCACGTTTGACTACTGTTTTAAATGTGAAACCGTTTTCAAATATGGTTTTGGACTTGAGTACAAGAGATACATCCTCCAAAAAGGAGTTCAAAACAAAAAGGCAACATGATTAACCATACCATAACACAAGCACTAGAAATTGACAAACCAAATTTACCAATGCAATCAGCAAAGTGCTTAAGTTCCTACAAACATATTGAAATGCACAGTACTTATCTTATATATTTTTTATTGCAAAGCACACTCAATCAAAGATATAACAAAATACGAGCCATTCTGTAATTCATGTTTGCCAAAAGAATGCAATTTTCCTTCGTGAAAATGTAAGTAACTGTAGCATTATGATTCCACGCCATCCCATTGCTAAGATGACAGACAACACATAGTACTGGAATTATTTATATTAAGCATTAAAATTACAAAGAAAATTCAAGGTTAATATGAGGACTAGTTACATTACTTAGAACCATGTTTACCGTACTCTTCTACTCTGTGAAGAGCATCCATGAGAACATCAGTTGTCCAATCCGTTACATCCTCCTGTGCACAGCATGTGAGCAAACTTCAGTCACTTGGTGTGTGTTTTGGATTAGCTTCATGAAGGTAAAACAACAAATAATTCTACATTTTCGTGGTGTCACCATGATTCATACAATGATATGATAGAATTGATTTGTGCGTGTCATCTAAACACCAATTTCTCTCTTTTTAAGTAACTAAAGATGTACGGGAGAAACTGTTGAATTCACATTTAATCAGAGCTTGAACAGTTTTGTAAATACACTCTTTTAAGTGCTCTTAAATCTCGTTACAACAAATAAGAACTCACATTGAATTCTTGCATCATCGAAATACCCATCTTAGCAAGTAATAACTGTTGAGTGATTATCTCTGATGAAAATAGAATTTCATTTTACCTTCCACTTGATAGAATATGTAGACAAATGAAATAAAACTAAAGAGAAGTTAATCTCAATCATAGTTATATAGCTGTCTAGTTTCTCTCGTAAAAGCACGTTATCATCGAACACAAATCCTACTCGTATACATATAAAAATAAAGTAAAGAATATAATGAAGTAAGAATGATTACCATACGCAATGGTTCTCCAGTTCTGATTCTGGAATTAGGACGCGAAAACTTGGACTCGAAAGGAGTCCTGGGTCTGATTTCTCGGAACTTCTCCCACTCCTCTCGGGTGATCATTCTGATGGTGCCTTGACCTTCAGGAGCATTCCTTATCTTACGCTCCAGCAACTCTTGGGATCTGGATTCATCATACTGCCACCGGTTACACCCATTAGTCACTACCTCATTTCATCGAACACTTGATGTGTGCAACGAGATCAATGACTATAACCGTCACATGCAATCATTCGTTTATTTATATTGTAAAAAGGAAGTTGGGAGGTGGAGGTATGTACCATCATAAGGAGTTTGGCTAACAGAGCGATTCCGACGGCCGCGACGACCATGGGCATGGTGGCGGTGTCGAGATAGGATAGGGATTCGGGAACGGGAACGATGAACTGATCCTTACTCTTGGGTTGCCTCTTCTTCCTTTTCTTCTCCAATTCCAAGGCTCTTCTCTTCAATGCTTCTGTGGGCACATCGCCACCAAGAGTGTGCAACAATCTACGTCTCAGCGAGTTCATCATCCTTAGTTACCATTCATCAAACACACTTCACCTTTCTTTTTCTTTTTTTCTCTCAAACATCCTTCAAATTAGATGACACTATTGCCCTTCCAGTTTTTTGCTAATTACACGCTGCACTAAAATTTGTCCATATATAACTCAACTGTAAAAACAACTTAAAAAAAAAAAATGTAGCCAAATTTCTGAAAAAGAGGAACAGTTATTCAATTGGAATTTCGTAATTAAAAAAATCTTGAATTTTTTTAAGTAAATCAATATAATTTATTCTGCCAATATCATTTAGTTGTTTATTGAGGATCAGATCATATTTTCTGGCCTGATCTTGACCTTGTGATTGATTATATGTTTGAAATATTAGTATTCACGTAACATGAACAACATTGACAACATCATCATCACTTGTACTTTTTGTTAAACAACTTAATTACGCTGACGAAACGAATTATATTGACTTAATATAAAATAAAAAAACCATATGAAAATAATTATGAGTTAAACTAAAATAAAATTTATTATAGTTATTTATATTTTATCAAATATTAAACGAACTTTTTTCTTCTATTCACATTAATAAGTTATTTACAAAAGAATTTTCTAAAAAATGGTTTTTATATTTCAAAGATATTAAGTTTTTTTAAATGTAATTACTTTATAGAGTATTAGAGTAGGGAAGTAGACATAATAGTATAAAGACACTACACATATTTATTTCTTTTATTTATTTAGTCAAATATAAAATACTTGGCTTAGAGGGTAAAAGTATGCCTTGACATCACTATCAACTTCCTTTTTACATGAACACATAAAAGATTGTATCTGCGAACGTTGAAGATGTATACAACATTGTTGCTTAAAGCAGGTGTAAGATATAAACTAAGCCCATTTTGCCAATAAAGACATGCCACCAGCACCCAAAAACACAGCTAAGTAAGATTTGAATTGAAGGTTGATGTTACCCTGCAACCTAGGGCTCATGAAATCCGCAGAGAGAAGGTCAACCAAAGCCATGTAGATCAGAAGACCTGCAGAGGAAGCGTTCAGCAACCCCACAGTGATAAGTGCACCAGGGCTGTTCTCTTTGTAGGTCGTGGCCATTGCAATTCCTAGGGCAATTCCAAATGGGGTTGTCACGGAGAAGAAAAACACCATGATGGCCTTCTTTAAGAACTTGTACTCAGCCTGTTCAAAATTTTAAGGGTTATTAGTTAGTTTCATGGATAACTTAACGATGCATGCATCTGCACATGCTCTTTTTGTTATACATATATATACCTGCTGAATGCAACCTCCTAGACCCATGCCTTCAAACATTTGATGCAAGCAAAGCGCGGCTATAAGACCTTTTATGGTGCATGTGTTGTTTGAAACTCCCATGCCAAGTCCTATAACCACTGAATGAACCACAATCCCAAGTTCTAAAACCTGCATTTCCAACATTCATTTGCTTACCATATTAAACTATATATTCATGTGCAGAGACTTACTACATATATAAAAGTTGAAAATCCACAAGTGTCCAATATAGAATGAAACATGTAGGACATGATAGTCTTACTATAATATCTAGTATGACTAAGGTTGATTGAACAATTATAAGACAAGGCTTGATCTATTTTGAAAACCAGTTTGAATTATATTTTGCAGTCCAGTTTAGTGTCTTATTTTGAGAAAAATAATAATTATATATTAAGAACAAAACTATTTTATTTAATAGATAGTACTGATACTATCCATATGATCTAATTATCATTATCTCAATTAACTTCCACGTAATAAATAATAAATTTTTATACATAATAAAAGTCTAGTTGAGATGTTAAACATGTACGATGTTCTTGTTCACTAAATTATCATGACAAAAAATTGTGAGAAATAGTGAGTAATAAAAGTGTGTTTAATTTGCAAAAGAGAAGCAATCTTACCATGGCAACAACACGATAACGTAGAAGTTGTGATTCTTGGCCTTCTGTCTTGCTCTGAGGATGGTGGTGGCCATGGAAATGGCCAAAGTTAACGACAGAACCCATCTCTCGATCCCCACCACCTGCAGGGCTGCTCTCAGCTGGAATAACCTCAGTTCTAAACTTCTTGGTATAAACACTTGAGGCCAAAGAATCCACCATCATCGTTATTATCGCAGAAAACATAGCCACAAGTCCTGAAAACGGAAACTCATGCCACGGTTTCTCCTTCAAGCAATCAGACCTTAACATGTCAAAGGAATCGGGAAGCACGTGCATGAACCCCGTCCCAAGAATGATACCAGCTGCGAAGCACTTCACAATTATGAAGAGATCGTTTTCAGGGCTCAAGGCTGGGACTGAACGTGTCACTAAGGGTAGTGTCACACCAATTACGCTGGAGACTAAGATGGTGAATATGGCTATGAGTTTTAGTGGTAGGGCTTTCTTTCTGTTGTTACATGCGTTTGCTGATTCAGCTTCACAACCAGCCACGGCTTGAGGCGTGAGAAGAGTGAAGAGAATGAAGAAAACAAAGATCATCTTGAAAAGGGTTAGTGAAGTAATGGCCATTGTGGTTGTCTATAGACGCTGGTTCTATAGACACAGCTTCTTTAAATAGACGATGTTTTCTTTGATTAATAGCAGTAAACAAGTGCACCGAACATGAATATGATAAAATAATTCCACGATGGATGCATAACGCCAACTAAAGCGACTGCACAACAGTTTCAATCATGAGAATGATTAATGTTAATTAATAATGAGTACATATCAACCGTACAAGATGGTAATAGGGCAAGGAAATCATATGAATAAGATATGATGAAAATAATTTTGTATACAGAAACGGTACTGAAGTCAATGCATATCAGATAGACGAAGGCAAGTGGAGATGATTTACGTCTGCATAAACGAAGAACGATATGAAATGTTTCATGAACCATGCTGTCTGGTTCAAAAAATTATGATTAAAAGAAGAAGCAAACTTTGTGACGTAGGTGCGATGAGTCCATCACGGGTCATATTGCAAATTAAGAAGGTTCTTGATGCCTTATGTTTAAGGGTGAGTTTGACTAAGTTTGCCTTCGAAATAGTGTAATAAGTAAATATATCTGATTAGATTGTTAAGATTCTAATTAGTTTTTATAACCTTATATTATGTAATTTAATAATATTAAAATTTATTTTTAAATAAAATATTTCACCTTTGAACAAATTTTAAAAAATTGATAGTTAATACCCATTTTTCTATCGATCTATTCATCACGTCAAGTAAGTTGAGGGGTTGGGTTAATTACAACTTGGTCCATTTTTAATCATTTTAGGCGAAATTATCTCATTTTAAACTCAAAACATGATGGCCAATAAATAAAGTTAACTGTTCTTAAAAAATTAATTTCCAGTTACAACAATAAAGTTAAACTAGTCAAATTAAATTAATAAATTTACTGTTTTTCAATTAAACATAAACAACCCAATTTAAAGCCAGTTGATTTGGTTATGAGGTTTCACTATATTTTTAAATATATATAAAAAAATAATAAATTATTAAAACTAATATTAAGTATATTGCTATATAAAATCTATAATTTTTATTTATCTAAAAATTCTTAGAAATAAATAACTAAAATAATAAAAAAAATTCTAAAAAAATTATATTTATTATTATTATCTTATTAGTAATTGAAATCTTATCATATTATGAACAATTGAATCTTTATCATAGGGTTAATTAATTCATCACACAGGACAAAAGAGAACTTTTAACAAGAGTTGCTTGAAAATAAATATAGATATTTTATTATGGATTTTACATATGAGTTACTTAAAATTTGGTCAGTTTATACAAATTATTTTCTTCTAATTTTAAATAACTTTTTTTAATTTTAAACAACTTTTTTTCAATTTTTAAGCAACTCTAACATAAAATTTATGATAAAATATTCATTTTTATTCTTATAAAATATTCATTTTTATTCTTAAATAATTCTTGTTAGCAACTCTCAATAGAGATGCTCTTAACAATTTTTTGATTGAAAAATATAGTTGAGGGAGCGAAAAAAATTAGAAAGCAAATAAAAAAGATAGTTGTTTTAATTAAAAGAAAAGATTAAAAATAGATAGAAAATAAAATAAATTTAATTATTAACAATATTTGATTATGTTTAACTTCTTTTTTTTAACTTTCTTTATATTGAAATATGTAAAATTCATGCAAGTCTTCACCTTGTATTTTTCCGTTGCTAGAAATAATAAGGACTTAAAATTTAAAATTTTATAAGAAGGGTTAATATTGAATTAATATTCGTGTTGAATTTAATAAATGGAGACAAAATAAGATATAAAAGAATATGATTTCATTTTCAAGTTAACCAAAACCTTAAAGATAATAAATTTATAGGTATTTTTTTCTAATATATTATTTAAGTTTACTAAATCTCCGCCATATGTAACTTAACTCACACTAATTTTAATAACAAATGTATAGTTGAACATTAAAATTTGCGACACATGTTGTTGATATCAATCCATAACACCTGGTTTAGGCAAAATATTGTTTGGAAACGTGATTCTTTTCCAGCTATAAACTTAATATTGCTTTTCCTGCGCAAATCTACTTTTTGAACTAATTAATGGTTATGTATTACAAATTTAAAAAGAGTAAAATAATAATAATAATAAAAAGATTAGTTCTACAGGGATTTACATTAAAATGGAAAATAGATCTACATTAACTCACCTGGTCAGTTTGGAAACATAATGTACTATGTTGCAGTGTTGTATATATCAAACCAAAATATTGTATATATTTTAATATATTTATTCATCTATCTTGGAATTTCAAAAAATAGCATGTTATTATGGTATAATTTTGTGGCGTACAGCATGGTATAATGTATACACATGAGTCTATCACATGGGTGATAATGATCATATGTGAACTTAGAACTACCGGTGGATGAAAAAAGTTCAGTGCTATTAAACAACATTTACATACATACTCAAAACAAATCATTCATTTTCATAGATAAAGGAAAAGATTCATATTCGAAGCATATATATAACAAGAGGAAAAATGGAGAGTAGAATTAATATGCACATGCACCTGATTAGAAGCTGAGTAATGGTGAACTGGCTCTAGTTGTTTCTCTGGTTTCTGGTTGAAGCTTAATATAGACAAATGGAAGTGACGTGCTTCCACTGCCATTGTAGTTGACAAACTCGTTCACTTTCAATGCTTAGGTTAATGGGGGGACACCCATAGGAGTTGGTGCGTACTAGGTTCATTATGTCTCATATTTGACATTGATTGTTTTTTCTCTTTATCACATCTAGAAACCTATATCCTATACACCAACTTTTAACAAATGATGATGCAATTGGTTCTTAACTGTAACACATCATTTTTATTTTTTACTTTATGCAAATTAATTTAGGTAACTGGCATTGCTAGAAGTATAGGTCATTGAAAACCCTTCATGTTTCTGTGCCAATCACTGTCCTCTTAGAAGCCCTTCTGCAGCGGTTCCACTTTGATAATGCAATACTGTTTTCATACACTTATTATGCAGATAAAAAAGGTCAACACTGCATAATATTGCAACACACAACATACATAGCAGCGAAAACCAGACCTGTTCACCTTAATTCCATCAACAACTTTTTTGTGCGACTTAACATAAATTCATATCAGTATCAACCTAGCAGCAGCCTCACACCTACTTCAGCTGACTTATATATATAGGCTCTCCTTCTCTTTCATAGCTTACTACGTAGAAACAAGTACAAGAATGATTAGTTGAGCCTTGACCACTACCTTTAATCTTGTACCTCTATTATTTAATCACAGAGTAAGTTCTATCTCTACCGCAAGTTCTTGATCTCCTCAACACAGCACCACCTAGCATTTGTTTAGTTTAACCTTTTCTACACCAACTCATTTTCCACATTCTTCTGAAACAGATGTTGTCAAGTTTACTATCTTCCTTTTCTCTTATAACCCTTTCCACCTGCTAAGACATGCAGACACGGGATGGAGCAAGAAAATCTTATTTGCTACCTCCAGACCCGTACGTCTTCTAGCTAAGTGCTGAACTGAGTCGGATTTGCTTCAAGCCTATGAACACCGCATCACAGAACAAGTTTACTACTCCAACTAACTTAGATCATCCTCCTTCACCCTCACGACTCCCCCATAAGAACCTGGTTTGGATTTATTATTTTTGTAAAAAGACATGAACAAAGGTAGCGATGAGAGGACGGAATCTCTGAGGCATACCCTTCCCGCTAGCAAGAGTTGTTTGGGTTCCTAGAGGACTAACTTTGTCTCAAATTTCTTAATAACATGGTTCTAAGTCTCAATTTTTTCTTGAATTTGCTCCAGTAGATATTCTCAAGTACACAGATAGAAGATACGGATCTGACAATTCAGTATGCTTGTGGCTCTTTCGATCTATGATGCTTCCGCCCCAATAGCACCATTGAAAAGTTAACAATCAATTCAGAAACTAACTGAAAACTCCTCATACTTTTAATAGTCCAAACACTATTTAGAGAAGTCTTTCCAAGGAAGATTGTGTCCATCAACAAATTATAAAACATTTATGTCCACATTACCATCACCAACCCTGTAACCCTTGTACAACCACTTTTTAGTAGCTTCCCTCATCAATCCAGTTAGGCCTTATGTTATAACTATGAAAAGGAAAGGTTTCAAAGCAAAAGTTGCATATCTTAAACTCTTAATTAGGGTTTTCATTGACAAGTATTGAGATATAGATTGACTATATGCATTCTCAATCCAACTCACCCATCTTCTTTCTCATGATCCACTTTATATACTAAGCATTCTCCATATATAGCCTTCTCTTCATCCATCACTTTATCTGCTATCAAAATACTATGCAACATATTTTGTTTTCCCTCTGAAAGCCTTTTGTCTTCTATCAATAACTAGAGGAAGAACTTTTTTTACTCTTATATGATTTTATATATTATTTTAAAGTTTAAAACTTATAGAGTGGATGTGATAATTTTATTGATATAAATGATTTTAAAATATTTTTGCTTGTGGATTTCAACTCTTAAAGCATACTTTGGTCATAACAATGGATGAGAACTAATTGACCTAAGTTTTTGTTTGAAAGAAAAATAAATCATATGATAATTATTTACCAATTGTCTAACCTATAAAAAATGAGTGGGAGAAATTATAAATGAATGAGTTTAAACCATAATTAATTAAAGATAAGTTTTCCAAATATTTAAGGGAATTGAATGAAATGTTTGACTATGCCTTTGCATGAATTTTTATTTAACCAAGAAATGAACAAGCAAAATTAAAATGTAGGTTAGGTTTGAACTTTTCCCAATAGAATTGGAAAGTTACATGAAATATGTAATTAATAACCTATAACTATTAATTAATATTTATATACTTATTGTAATATTTATATTATTCTAATACTTTTTTGTTCTAAGCAAATTCTTTATGTTGTACATATAGAACATTACTGAAAGCAATCAGGGGGAGATTGATGACAATGTGAAACATGTCCCTACATTCCCAA